ATTTGTGTTGTGTGTTCTGACTACTACCAAGAATTCTTGAAGTCTGAGCTCGATGATCAATACCACAAAATGAAGGGGGAGATGTAAAAGGAAAGGGGAAACAGAAATATTTCCGGTGAAAAGAAGAAAATCTATTTCCCAAGTTATTAAATAGTGTCTCTCAACAGTGGGGGCCCAACAGCCACACTTGCAAATATTTAGCACAACATGCTAAACTGCTTCCCTGCTGTCTTGTGGGACATCTTTGGGTGAAGAAAAGACTAAGGAGTAAACCCTATGCAAATCCAGAGTGAAATCCTTAAGACTGTTGGATGACATCTTGTACACCTCCTGCAGCCAAGCTGCGGCAAATGCATTGCTTTCCTTTTCTTTGGAAGACATCAGTGAGACCGGGGTGGGGTGGGGTGGGGCTCATGTCATTTGGGCAGCTCAGGACCTCAATAAACACTGCCCAGGCTTGCGCAATGTGGAAGGTCACTTTGGTGCTGCAAACACAGCAAAAACAACATGGGAGGCAGCAGTTGCAAGTTACCAGTTTCTGCAGCCACAGCAGGCGCTGTGACTCTCCATTGGTTTGACTTCACCCCTGGAGGTGCACACCATTGTCTCTTGAGACAGACAGATGCCAACCATGCAATGATAAATTTCAATATACCATTATAAATAGGATTTATTATACTTTACAGATCAGAGAGCCAAATGAACATTTCCTTTCAAAAGAGCCAGATAGCAAACATGTGAAGGGAACTTGAGGTAAATGTCCTTGTTGACAATCTACAGTTTGACAGGTGAGAAAGTAGGATCACATTGCAAGCCTGTTTAAAGTACAGTTACATCAGATATACAGTAGCATGTGAGATTTCCAGTTTTGCAGCCTACTTAATGGATCCTCAATAGCTTTTAAAATTTCAATTAAATGTTAAGCATACTGTGTTGTAGTGTTGTTGTTTTATGCAAGCATACATAAAGTCCATCACCCGCATCCAGTGCTATGTTCATGTGGGAACTCAAATATCCACCATGGATTGCCAGTTTATTTCCCTGGAGCAGCTAGTGAGAACCTTTGGATCTTCAGATGCTGCCAAACTACAACTCCCATCAGTGACAGGTATGATGGAAGTTGCACTTCAGCAATATCAGGAGAGCCAAAACTTTCCCACCCTTGCTCTGGAGAATCAGAACCAGGGGAAGCACCTTTATATGGGCTCAATCCTGCCAAAGATGGAGACTTTTAATACCCATTGAATTTGCTAGAAGAGAATTATCCAAGAAAACGAAAAACAACACTTAGTAAATATGTCTTAGGGTGGCAAATTATCTCAAAATAAAGCCATGCAGACTGTGTCAGAATAAATATATTCATTTGTGTGTGGGTTGTTGTTGTTTTTTGTCCTTCTTTGCTTGAAAAGTCACATGGAACATTGTAAATGCCAAGTGAAACTTCTTCTTATTATTATTATTAATGAAATTTATATACCGCCCTATACCACTGTGCAGATAACAGGACCCAAGAAAGACTAAAAACAGGTCTACTGGTGTGTAAATTCTGAAATGAAAAGTGACTGTGGGACTAGATCCATACACTCTTGGAGGATTTTATAGTTTTTGATTTTGATTTTATAGTTCCATTTCAATTGAGGTTTAAGCCTGGCTTTGGCACAGAAACTGTGTTGGTCGCCCTGCCTGATGACCTCTGTAGGGAGAGAGACAAGGGAAATATTAATTGACCTCAACCTCTCAGAGGTTTTTGATACCATCAACCATAGTACCCCTCTGGAGTGGCTGTCCTGAGTTAGAGGTGGGTGGCACCACTTTGTGGTGGTTCTGGTACTACTCAGACGGTTGTTTCCAGAGGGTGATGCTTGGGGAGTGTTCTTCAGCCCCATAGAGCTTTCAATGTGGGATTTTATCACCTATGCTGTTTAACAACTACATGAAACCACTGAGTGAGGTCAGCCAGAGGTTTGGTGTATGTTGTCAGCAATATGCTGATGAAACACAGCTCTTCTTCTCCTTTACATCTGCAGGTGTAGCAGTGGATATGCTGGACGCTGTCTTGCCTCTGTAATGGACTGAATGAGAACCAACAAATGGAGCTCAACCCAGATAAGAGTGAGGCACTGTTAGTGGGTGGGTCCCTAGACTTAATCAATGGGATTTGCCCTGCTCTCGATGGGGTTACATTCCCTCTGAAAGAGCAGGTATATGGCTTGGGTGGGGGGGACTTCTGGGTCCTTTGCTGTTGGCTTGAGGCTCAGGTGGCCTTGATGGCACAGAATGCCTTCCATCAGCTTTAGCTGGTAGCCCAGCTTGACTGTACTGACAGTCAACTGATTTCTGGGTCTGATTTGAAGTGCTGGTTTTGACCTATAAAGCCTTACAAACGGCTCAGGACCACAATACCTCAAGGACTGCCTCTCCCCATATGAATAAACCCAAACCCTGTGATCATCATTTGAAGCCCCTTGGATGCCTCCTCTACAAGAGGCCTGGAGAGCAGCAACATGAGAATGGGCCTTTTCTGTAGTGGCTCCTCATCTGCTGAATGCACTCCACAGCAACGTCTGCCAGGCACCTTCATTACATAACTTTAGGCACCACCTGAAAGCATTTCTTTACACTCAGGACTTTGGCTGATCAAATATTCTCTGGCCTTTTAAATGAGATTTTGGGAGGGGAGTTATTGGTGTGTTTTTGTTTCATTATGCATTTTATGATCTTATTTTGTATTTTTATGCTGCGAACCTTCCAAGGCTCTTTGGATGTTGGGCCGTAAACAAATTTATTTATTTATTTATTTTTAAATTCAACTCTGAATATATGAAAGAAAGAGTACATTCTTAACATTTACTTTTTAAAATCAATGTGTGTTAAGAGTGCTTAACTCTGGCAGGATTACTGCACTCAACATGTTGTAGAAAGAAATGTGACTGAGAGTAGCACTCAGCTTTTGCTGTGCATTGACTTGTCCGAAAAATCAATGTGGGCTCCAGGCAAATATAAAAGATTTAAATAATTATGGAGCTTATGCATTTCTTTTTTTCAAGAGACACGTGTTTAAAATATGGAAGCACGTGGCACTTCTACATTTCCTTTTCTTGTGCAAAAGTGCTTCCCGTGGATCAATTTCTTGTTTATCTAGGCGCACTGATTGGGACAGATACCTCTTCCCCCTTCCCCTGCCACATCTAGCTATCCAATTTTATATTAGCATTCATACAACGACAAAAAAAAATCCAGTTTTTTTTCCTTTTTACTCCTTCCCCCCTTTTTAAAAGCACTGAGTGCAATCCAGTAGGAATATTGTTCAAAACATTTGAAGATAATAGAACCATTTCTGTGCTCTTGTAGAACCCTACTTTTCAGTGGGATATCCACAGTCAAAGTTCTAGGTGGACTGTGCTCAATGAATCCTGCACCAATCCAAATACTGTTACATGAAGTGTACATTCTTTTACATTATTGCCCAAGGATGATACAATGCAACACATTAATGCAACACATTAATGCAAACTGTGATAGGCATAGTACACATTTTAAACATGTAATAAGCAACAACCAAAAAATGAAAATGTTACATCTTATGCTAACCAAAGATAAATTCAGTGATCTTGCCAAATTGCCTAAAAAGGCAGCCATTTTAATGCTAGGCAGCAGTATTATTATTTATTTGTACTAGTGGTAGTTAAGGTTTTGATTTATTTATTTTTTTAAATCACACTAAATGCAAGACCTTTTGCTTAAATATTGGGGAAGGGCGTGCCATCTAAATTGTGCCTAAGTAGGTACTCTTAAAAATGCTAGCCAGCATAATATAAAATAAGCTTTCATCGAAAAGCTTAACAGTTAGAATAATAAAAAAAAGAATGAGAGAGGCTGGCTACAAGTGTATACTATACATATATCTATACGGAATTGCAAGTACGAGGTACACCCTCTCTTGGGCCCAGTTCATACAACATGCAGCACAATCCTATGCATGTTTACTCAGATGTAAGTCCCATTGAAATCAATGGGACTTACTTCCCATTCCACATGTTTAGGCTTGGAGGCCTAGTGGACCTATGATAGAGGAGCAGATATACAACTCTCCCCCACCCCATGGATGCAACATGTGGAGGTGGGTGTTCCATGTAGAGCAAGGGTACCCACTGTGGTGGACTATAACTCCCATCATCCTTGACCATTGACGCTACTAGCTGGAGCTGATGGGAATTGGAGTCCAGCAGTATTTGGAGGTCCCCATGTTTCCTACCCCTGCTGCACATGGAACCGTCCTTCACATTCTCCATGATGTGTATCATGGAGAAAATGCATTAGCAGCTGACTTTCCACCATGCTGAGGACTGATAGCCTGTTAAGCCAGTGGAAAGAGCCATTTGGCATTTTAAGATCGACAAAGCACTGTAAAATGCTCATATCTGGCTATCCTGCATAGCGGAAAAAAGTATTTCTTACAACAACCCCCCTCCCCCCCACCCAAGAAAATAAAAAATAAACCAACAGTAATTTCTCATTCTGGAGCATATGAGACAAAGCATTTTACCAAGAAATGCAGGGAGTATAGATAACTTTACTTTGTCTTTCTTTCTTTTTTTTGGATGTATATGCCTAAAAGTTATTGCTCCTTTATCATCATGTATATGGGAGAGAAGGCATAAGGTGGGATTGGGGAACCTGTGGCCCTCCACTGTTGCTGGACTATGCAACCCACCATCCCTAACCACTGGGCATGCTGGGTGGGGCTGATGGGAGTTGCAGTCCAGCAACACCTGGAAAGGAACAGGTTCCCCATCCCTGCTATAAGGGAGGGGAGCATGGACAACATATATCCTCAGCATAAATAAGTTAAGGGCATTAGTCCATTAAGGACAAAGTGGCTATCAGCAACATAAGAGAATAAAAAGATTTATCTTATATAGTTACCACCATTCACACCCAGTGATGGTTAATATCACTTATTTTGCCTTAGGGAAAAACCCTACATTATCAAACACTTATAGCACAATGTTCTCAAGTCTCTCTTTGTCTTTCTTTTCTTTCCTTTTCTGTCTTAGCGTTCTTGCCCTGAATACCTTTCAGTAGGGCAGCTTGAACAGTTCACCGCCACTTCGAAAACCCCTCTGGAGATCAGACGATAAAATTCTTCAGCAATCAGGGAGAGAGGACAAAGGGCTTTCTCGTGCTATTCCCATATTTCCATGTTTGCTGGCTTAACATCATTGTGTATACGACTTCAGTACTTAACAGCTGATGCGAAGACGTTCAGAGCTGGCAAACAGAGAAACAGCATGAGAAAAGCCCCTGCCTTCATCATCACATCTCCAACCCTACCTTAAAAGTTGGCTTGGCAGCTATCAACTAGCTTAATACTGTCATGGGGATGGGGAGGGGCTTGGGGAGATTTTACTATTTTTAGATTTAGATAGGCAATTCAGATTTAAAGCATTCATATGGGAGATGCAGGCTTGGGGAACCTGTGCCCCCCACTCAGATGTGGTTGGACACCAATTCCTATCAGTCCCTCCCAGCGTGGTCAATAGTAAGGAATTATGGGAGTTGCGTTGCTATAATATCAGGATGACAACCGATTTCCCCTCCCTGATTTACAGGATGCTTGCTGTTCGGGTTTATCTGGATATAACAGCTATCCCTCCAAGCTGCCCTACTAAGAGACATATCAGGATCTATATAAAGGATAGATTTGCTAGGTAGCCAGCATGGTGCTCTCTAGATGTTGCTGAATTCCAGACCTCGGCCCCAGTCAGTGTGGGCAGCTGTCAGGAATGGTGAAAGATGCATTTCAGTATCAAGGGAGCAACACATTAGCCAATGCCTGCAAGGGGTCATTCCCTGGAAACTTTAGTTATATATTCTGTGAAGGTGGAAGGGGTAGGGAAGGGGTGCTAACTAAGCATTGCATTAAAGGACTCTTGACACATTCATCAAACTACAATTCCCAGGATTCTTTGGGGAAAGACATGACTAGCAAATGGCTTTAAATCAACATAAGATCATAGTACATACATGCCCTTAGTGGAAATACATTACTTAATACAATGCAACTCTTATGCCAAAATATGTGGTACAGCAGGCTTCAGGCCTTGTAAATGTATATAATTATAAAATGTCATGCACTCAAGGGACTCACTGCAACATATTTTAACCCCCCCAAATTTTGTTAGAATTCTCTGAAATTGAGGAAGGTCTGTGTAAATAAAAACAGGCGACATCCACGTCCCTCCCTCCTACCCACCAACCGTGTATTGTCATCATGTTTAAGAACTTGTTTAGATTGCTGATATCAAGATAGCATATGTTCAAAATATTGTGGGAAAATAATATTGAGAAAGATGGAATATGGGAGGAAAGAAGACTGAAACAAAGCAGAGCAATTAACGTAAAATATCCTGACTAAATCATCATGATCTCACTGTAAAGTGCAATAGTAAAGAATGGTCAAAAGTATGCATGAAAGCAGGGCTGGAGAAAATCAATGCAGAGTAATGGCAAAGGAGTCAAACACACAAAGGTCCTGTTCCTACAGCAAGCATAGTTAAATTTTCCAAAGTGCATCAGTGCAAAAATGCTAACTTTTGGACCCAGTTTGCATATATAAAATTGGCTGGCTTGATTTTCAGTGCAACCCATGCCATATAAGAATGGATACAGCCTGATGGAATGCCAAAAAACCAAACTGGGGAACTCAAGCAGCAGTTCTGCATGTGAAGTTCTGCACGTGCAAATTCAGCTTTACCTGAAATCGTAAATGAATTGATACCAAAGGCACACACACTTACTGGTCGCATATGTTAAGAGGTACAGAACAGAAAAAGCTAGTGAACTCTCGACTTTAAAATGTTTTCCAGCTTGAACTGAGTCACCCTGAGTACTGTAGTTATGTAGGAAGGGTGTGGCACAAACGCTCTTAAATAAACCTTAAATATTTTTCTTCCTCTTTTTACTAATTTGCTTGGATTTTAATGCAAGAAATAGTAAGTGGCAACTTCAGAGGAGGGCCAGGCTCAGAACTGCATTCAGCTTAGATGCAGACAATCTATCCTATATAGTGTTGGGACAACATCAGACCCTCCAACATTCCTCAGATGAAAATGGGGACACTTCTCACCCCCCCAACTGAACCTCCTTGACCTCCATTTTTTGCCCCCCCCCCACCACAAAGCATTTCCTATTGGAAAAAGGGTAAGCGCCATCACTACCACACTAGTGGGACACAGCACACGTGCCGGAATGGCTTTCACAATTCTGACACTGTCCCTGGAAAATCAGGACATTTGGAGGGTATGCCACACCAGTCTCCGGATAAGGTAGATTTACTCATCATTAAGCTGCCCCAAACTCCTCAGGTTGAGGGAGGATGGAAGACGTGTACTGGTATATCTCTGAGTACCTGCAGCAGCTATTGGTTGCCCTGCCTCAGTAATGGACTGGATGAGAGCTAAAGAACTAAAGCTCAATCTAGATAAGACTGAGACACTGCTGGTGGGTGGTTACCTAGCATGGATGGCTGGGAGACTGTCTGTTCTTGATGAGGTTACATGCCTGAATCTGGTCTGCAATCGCCTGTTCAAGAACCTTGCCCATGTCCATGAAATGGAGATTAGCAACTTGTTGGTAGTTACTTAGATTTTCTTAATCAAGGCAGCGTTTCTTGGGATTTTATCTTTCAAGTATGCAGAGACAATGCCCTCTCACAAGGATGCATTAATCGTCTCCCTGACCCAGCCAGCTGCCCCCCCACACTATTTTTAATCAGTCAAGAGGGACAAGGGTCCAGAGCACCTTGTCCATATCCACAACTGATCCAAGCATCTTGTCCATATTTTTGAGCCTTACTAACTGAAATTTGTCCAACACAACAGGACTAGAAAGTGCTCTGGACACCCATTGAGAGTAATCTGCTGTAGCCACAGAATTAAGAGCCTAGTGGATGCAAGCAATTTTGTCTTCAAAATGCTTTGCAAACACAGCGAGGAGCTACCATTGATCCCACCACCTCCTTCAGGCCAGAATGTAAATGAGGCTGCACTACCCGGAACAGCTCTGCCAGATGGCAGAGTGAGGATGCAATGGAGGCAGCAAAGTATCCCTTCCATGCTGCCTTCACTGCCATTAGGTAGGCTCCATGAAGAGCCCTCATCATTGTTCATTTGCATTCCGCCAGATCTTTCCTCCACTCACATTCAAGCCATCTCCCAGCTCATTTCCTCGTTCTAAGCTCTGGGGTATAACACAAGCTCCCCCCCCCCCAAGGGAGAGGGTGATCGGGGTGTTCATGTCAATGACCTGGGCCATTCAGATGTTCCAGAGCTAAGCCAGGGCTTTGGTAGGAGCGTTAGTCATATCAGGCAGGAAATTCCCCAGAGACATTTGGAAACCCATTGGATCCATCAGTCTCTAAGGACAGACTGTCCTCATATGTCCCCTGCCCTTGCAGAGGGGAAAAGGTGCTGAAAGCCTAAATCTCAACAGGAAGTGATCTGACCATGACAAGGGACTGGTGTCAATATTTGCAAATCACACGCTTCCTGTGCAACTGAGAAAACAAGCTCCATAGTGTGGCCTGTCATATGCATTGGGCCACTGACATGTTGGGACACCCCATAGTCATCATGGCAGCCCAAAGACCTGAGACACGCCAACACCAGTCACGTTGGCAGTGGATGTTGAAGTCCCCCAGAACCAGCAGTCTTTGAGTCCTCAATACAGTCGTATATTGGAAGTTGAATGAAATCCGTTCTGAAAGTCCGTTCGACTTCCAAAACATTCAAAAACCAAATTGTGGCTTCTGATTGGCTGCAGGAAGCCCCTGAAGCCAATCAGAAGCCACAGAAGCCTCATCGGATGTTCAGGTTCCAAAAGAACGTTTGCAAACCATAACAATCACTTCTGTGTTTGTGGCGTTCATGAGCCAAAACATCCGATTTCCAGGGCATTCAACAACCAAGGTACTGCCTCTGAGACCATCTCTGTCAACTCATGCAGGGAGACTGGTGAGGAGCGGAGTGAGTGACAAATCAGCAGAATCCCTAATTTGTCCCAGTTGCCCAGTGCCAGGAACTCTGTCCCACAGCTGGACAGAGAGCCTGGAGAGAGGGAGAATCTCTATAAACCAAAGAAACTCCCTCTCTCCAACTGTCATGGATTGGTTGGCCACAGAGGAACGGTGGGAGGAACCAGCTGGGGAACCACCAAGGAAGAAGGCTCAGAGTCTAGAGAGTGATGGTGGGACAATGATGAGTGGTCAAAGGGAAAAGAGGAAGAAGACTGGGATGAGGAGGTGTCAGAAGCTAAAGAGGTAACAGGGCTTAGTGAGCTGGGAGAGTCTGTGGCAGAGAGCAGTCAAGAATCAGAGGCAGAAGTCAAAGCAGGGGAGAAAGGAAGCGAAGAGACAGAGATGAGTCTGGTTGGTAAAGAGTCATTGGTATATCACCCTCATCCTGTTACAAGCCCCTCTCCCCTCTGGTCTCCCAGAACCAGAAGAGGCATGGATGAGAGGCTGGTTGTATGCAGGTGCAGTCTCCAATTGCTTGAAAAAGGCTCTGGGTGTCAGGGACTTTAGATGGCTTGAAGAGGTGGGGACTTTCAGTCTTGGTAACTGATTCATGGGGCCAGACCTACCAGGGATGAGTTGCTCTGCTCATTAAGCCTGAAACTTGACAAAGTATGTTAAGATTGTGTTTTTGCTAGTAAAGAGTTAACACCAATTGTGAATGGTGTGATTTACTGCTGGCACACTCCTGTGACACTGACCCTCAAGACTGCCCTGATGCTGCACCAAGTACCGAGCTGGGCAGAACCAGGTGAGGCCACCTCTAGCATGCTCACTCACCCAGGTCTCAGTTATACAGGCTGAATCAGCCTCCTTGTCCACAATCAGATCAGAGAGGTCTTCCTCAGCCCTGGAATTCAGCAAAAGGAGCTGTAGAAGGGAGGACTGGCTGATAGCACAACCACAAGTTGGAGGAGGGGCTGGCACACAGCAGGCACCAACTGCCTGTGCCATGTGTCCCTTACACAGCTTTCCCCACCTTCTACCAGTATCTCCTCCTGCTCTGGACCACTGTGATTCCCCCCCCCCAGCTTTCTCTTGCTCCTCTCTTCCTAGACACATCCTGCATCCTTTTAAAACAAAAACAAACCCAAAATTTAAAACCCACAGATCAAAAGCCATTTAGAAAAAATGTAAAACATTTTAAACAGTTGGGGTAGTAAAGCCAGTAACAGAGTCCCCTTAGACACTGCCCCAACCCAAGAGTTTGTTCCAGCTTTTTGTAGCTGGAGTAAGTCTGGGTCCTGCCCTCCCAGGTCAGATAAAAAAACCCTCCCAAGCAGGGAGCAGGTCCTCATAATAAAATAATCCTGAAACTGATAACCAGTGGAGGTTAACACACATTTGGATGAGTAGGCAGGGAAGTAAGAAAGAAAGTATAGTTTTCTCTTCAGCCCTGTATTCATTACAGCTCAAAATACAGTGGATCCCTTTTCTATACAGCTACTATGTTCAGTCTGAATGGTTGAGTTGGATCCGACTAAGGACCGCTTACCCCCGGTGTGCAATGATTGCAGCCTCCTATGGACCACGGTTGCACTAGGGGCAGGGGGGTGACTGCTGGTTTCCTGTGCAGTTGAGTGGGAGACAACATTTCTTCCCCAACGGTCACACAGGCTTCCAGTCTTCTATCCAGGCAATCACAGGAGGCCAAAGAGAGGCAACGGTTCAGAGTGAACCTGAGTAAAGCCAGAATGCACCTCCTGCCCTGGGTCTAGTTGGTGGTTAACTTCCCCACCCTCCCTCCCTTCATGTCTTGCCATGGTTATGTTTGAGCATTAGTGAGCAGAAGGCAATTAGGACCTTGCTATGGAAGCATTGGATCACCATATTTGGGGCCAGGGAGGAATTTGTCCTCCAGGCAAATTGGACCAGTTGAGAGATTTTGCCTTCTTCGTAGCAATTGTCACAACATGGGTGGGTAAGGCATTTGGTTGTATCCCTAGTCAAGGTGTGTGGGGCTGGGAGGTGAGCAGGACTCTCACCTCACGCTCCATTGGATGTGGGTACTTCATTAAAAGGCCAAAGGGAGGTGCTTTGATCCTGATGCCCAAACAGCGGTTGATATCCCAGGATACTCTCCCCAAATGGTGATCTCAGAAGACACCCTGCTTTGATGTATGTCACAGGGTGATCCTTAAACTGAGATTAACTCTAAGAATCAAACAGCAGTTATGCTGGGTGATTCCAGATACACACCAATGCCTACTCCAAAACCTGCTTACATCTGTAATTGTAGCCTATTTTATTCCAAAGTGATGGCTTCTTCTTCTTCTTCTTCCCTCCTCCCTGGTTAGCCCCCACCCAATAGCAGCCTTGCTGCACCCAGGCCTTTAATCTATAGTATCTGGATTAAGGGAAATGATTCCAGGGCTAAATATAACCTTTGTTTCTGTTTCCCACATTTGTCATACAATGGTTGCAATTGTTAGTAATGCCTTAAAAGTAGAATGTCAAGTTTACTTTTAATAGCTTAGGGAGTGGAAGGGATAGAGGAAGAGGAAATGGAAATAATCTCTACGTTCAATCATTTAAAGCACCTTCTTCCAACCTGGTTACATCCAGACGTTTTGTGCTCCATCTTCCACCAGCCCCAGCCAGCATGGCCAAGAATTAGGAATTATGGGTGCTGGAGCAATAGCACTCATAGGGCACCCAGCTGGGGAAGCAGCAACTCTCTATGGTCACAGGCAATAGGACTTTCCTATGATTAACTCTCTGGTCATTCAGCATAGCTTGGAGAAACCTCAGGACAGATGGTGTGAGAAGTCAATCCTTTCTCCTTCCTGAGCCCTGCACCAACCCAGGTGAGGTCTGAACATCACTACTGGGCTCTTGTTCCAGAATGCCTAGTGCCTAAAACAACATAACTCCTCTTGGGACCAGGAGAAGTTTGCAGAAGGTCCATAGCTAGATGGTAGAGCATCTGATTTGCATGAAGATACACCCAGGTCTAATCCCCAGTATGTCCAGGTAGGGCTGAAGTCTTCCCTGCCTGAAATCCTGTGGATTATACTGACCTAGATAGACCACTGGTCTGACTCTGCATAAGGCAGCTTCCTACATTCCACATCATTTCATTGCATGTGCCACTTGTTCTGTTTGGAAACCGTCCAATATTCACATTCCCTTCATATATTTTCTGAGCCGTGATTGAATCTCACTCTGATTTGAATAAGCCCAAAGTTTCCTTTAGTGATTAAATATAACCAACCTGAGTCAGCAGGACAGCACTCAAAAATATTTCCATTCACAGACACTGAGCATTTTTAAAAAAAAAGAAATTTGACTTAAAATAACAGTTCACTAAGCATCTCTCTGTGTCTTATATCACAGAAATTGTAACTACTGCTGAAGCTGTGTTTTAGGCATGAGAAAAAGATGAGGCCTTCCTTCAATCAACACCCATAAAAAGGTGTAGAAAAGTTTTAGGGAGGCGGGTGTTTTAAGTTCCTTCCCCCTTGTCAATTGCCCAAGAAGAAGCAAATGAAATTCAAAGACCCCATTCTCAACTGAGACAAGTCATTACAACACAACCGAAGTAATGGTCAATGGAGGGAAATGGGCAGCACACCTTTGCTGCTGCAACACTTCTTTTTTAAGGGAGTTGTTTTGTTTGATCAGCTCCTTGAAAGCCAGACAAGCACTCACTGCAACAGTAAGCATATCCAGAGGTAGATTTAGGGCAACGTTGCACTGGGCAATGCGCTGCAGGGCATTGCAAGTACGATGTAGTGGATTGAGCAGAACAGAAGGTGAGAGGCGGGGGAGCGTGCTGAAATTCCAAAGACCAAAGTCCATCCCAGCGTATGCTGCTAGTATTACTGCTAATACTGAAGTTTTAAATTATTATTACTTTTAATGGAAACAATGCAGCTTTTTAGAATCACCATTTAGAGGTGTGCTTCTCATGCATTCTCTTTATCAACTTAAAAAGCTAAACACTGTGTAGCTGCACTCTGCCCAACCCCTTCTAACACATAAGCCTGGACTGCGCTTTAACCAGTGACATGGGAGACTAAATTTACAGTGTAGTGTCTGTAAAAGCTGGGCAGCATTTGTAATGTCTCTGATATTATCTTTTCCTCCCCCTTTAACTTCAGGGCTGTTTCATGCTGTCAGTTGTGTCAGGTGCCCAGCTTTTAGGAACCAAGACTGCAGTATATATTCCTAGCCTGGAAAAAGGCACTCAGTCCATTAAGGGGAGTTGAGGGGGGCAGCCTGCTTTCTTCTTCTTTTTTTGCTGAGAGACCTTGAGGTAGGGCTCCAACCAAAGAAGTCTGCAATTCCAGACTCCATTAACATTAAGAACCACTTATCAGATCCTGCAAAGCTTTATTGCTTTCCACCTGGCCTAGATTGCTTAGATTCCCAAGCAAACGAGGCTAGCGAGGACAGGCCCGTAACCTCTCTTTTGTTCTGCAAATCTAAGCTACTGCTATCCTCTATGCAAAGCAAGAAGTGCCACACTGCCATCTGCAGACGGGAATTACCTTCTAAATATGCTCATTCAGCAATCAAAATTTCCTGATAGCCAAGAGTCACTTCATTCTCATTTTCTTCCATTTAGTATTGATGGATCACAAACTGTTTACTTCTCAGTGCTTCAGCCAAGCATGAATGCTTAAGGTTTATATATTTATATATAAAGATTTAAAAGGCACAGCGAAATAAAAAGGAAGAAAAAGATAAAGCAAAAGGAAAGGAGAGAAGCAGAGAGAAAGGTGCAAGTGAGCAACTTGGCATTACCTGTCTGTTGTGGATGGAGCCTGGAGTCTTGAAACCTCCTTGACAGCTGCATTCAGAGACACTGTAAGGGTCTGAGCTGCTGGAGGAGCACTTAGAGAGTGAATCGCAGCCCACCACGAAGGTGTTATCCAGAGGCAGTTCCTGAATGACATGGTGCTTCTTCGGTGGCACTGGAGTCTCAGGTTTTATTTGGAAAGTGGGCTGTGGCGAGGCAGACTTGTAGTGCTTTGCTAAATCTGGGCTGTCAGGCTTAAAGGTTGTTGGTGTGGTGGCCCAGTTATATTTTCCCATAGTCTGTTCTTCCAGCTCCACGGGAATGTCCAGAGTGCCATTGATATGTTCATGGCCAGGATCATCAGGCTTAGATTCTTCGATGGTCACAAAGTTGAGAAGAAGGCTTTTGGGAGAGCGCTTCTTCTTCTTCTTCTTCTTCTTGATCTGACGGTTTTCTTGGTTTGGAGAAACCCACTCACCACTCTGCTTGCTTTTCTGGACAACCTTGTGCCTGGGTGTTTGACGGCATCGCACCAGGGCAGTCACAAAGATGACCAGTATTACTGTCATGGTACCTGCTATGATAGCAATTATGATCTTGACATAGTCGTTCGTCTGTGGAGTTATCTCACCATCCCCAACGTTTTGGCCAACTGGAGTTTCCATGTTTCGGCGCACTAACTCTTGGACATAGGATCCATTGGTGACAGTTTCATTCACAAATAAATGCACCAGTGCTATAGTATATAGTGACTCAGGCTGTCCTAAATCATTGACTTTGATAACCAGCCTGTGCAACCCATGATCTGCCGATATGACCTTCTCTTTCAAAGTAACATTGCCTGTTAACTGGTCAATCATAAACAATCCCCGTGAATTCCCACCAATAATGCTATAGCGAAGCTCTGCATTCATCCCTGTATCATTGTCAATGGCAAACACCTTTGTGACTACAGAGCCCGGGCTGGTGGTTATTGGAACCAAGTCATACGAGTAGTTAGATGAAGGCATGACAAAAACAGGCCTGTTGTCATTCACATCAACCACATTGATGGTCACCTTGGCAGTTGATGAGCGTTGCAGCCTCCCTCCATCCACAGCCTTCACCTGAAAGGTATAAGAACCTTGCTGCTCCCTGTCAAAGGTAATATTAGGCCGTATGACTCCGGTGAGGGGATCAATAATGAAATTATCTTTGCCATTCAATATAGACAAGGTCACGGCTGCGTTCTCTCCAGAGTCTGCATCTGTCACAGTGATCAGCCCAACAGTGCCATACATGGGTAGGTTTTCTGGTACATAGAAATTATACTCGTTATGGGTGAAGGCAGGGCTGTTGTCGTTCTGGTCCAAGACTGAAACTGTCACAGTAGCATTGGTCTGTAAGGGTGGCATCCCATTATCTTTCGCCAGCACAGTGAATGAGTATCTGTCCTGTTTTTCCCTGTCCAGCTTTCTCACTGCTGTCAGAATGCCTGTACGGCGGTCCAGGTTGAAGATGGGTGGTGCGTCCAAGCCCAGCATGTAGCTGATTTCAGCATTGCGCCCACTATCTGCATCTGTAGCACTAATCTTGGTCAGCTGGGTGCCAGGAGCATTATTCTCAGGGATAGACAGTCCAATGACAGGTTGCGTGAACACTGGTGCATTGTCATTCTCATCCTTGATTTTGATGAGCAACATTGCAGACTGGTTCAAAGGTGGTTTCCCCGAATCAGAAGCCACTATTTTAATGGCATATTCCCGGGTGGCCTCGTAGTCGAGGAATGTGGCTGTCTCCAGCAGAAACTGATTATCAAACACAGGCTTTAACCTGAATGGCACATCGTGGTCAGTGTAGCAGGTAACTTTGCCGTTAAGCTCAGAATCCTTATCCATTACAGTAATCAGGGCAATTTTAGTATTGAGTGGTGCTTTCTCTGACAAAAGCACAGTCCCATTCACCGGGTTGATAATGTACCTTGTGTCTATTGATGGGATGTTATCATTAATGTCTGTGACATTCACTGTCACTGTTGCTCTTGAAGGTGTTGAACTGCCATCGCTTGCTAAGACTGTTAACTTGTGTACTGGAGATTCCTCCCGGTCCAGTGGTTCCTTGATGGTGATGAGACCTGTGGTGTTATCAATGGCAAACAGCCTTTTGGCCAAGGTGGTGATTTGGCTGCTAAAATAGAAGTGGATCTGGGCATTTGAGCCCAGATCGGCATCAGTAGCATGAAGCTGAGAGACAGAGGTGCCTACAGGGGCACTTTCAGGAACACTGACTTCAATATCATTCTCCTTGAACACTGGGCGGTTGTCATTCACATCAGTGACTGTTACTTGGAGAATAGCAGTGCTGGATCGTGGAGGGTTGCCGCCATCTTCCACTTTAATTTTCATCACATAGGTATCCTTCTGCTCCCTGTCAAGGACCTGCTGTACTATCAACTGGGGCCACTTGTCCCCCTCCGGCGTCTCAATTATATCAAGTCCAAATACATTTTGACCCTAGAAGCCAGGAAAAAAAGATACAGAGGGGTACATTATTACATAGATCTGCTATTAGTTGGACATACCTGAACAATATTAATGTGCATCCATCAGTTTATGGCTCTTCTAGTCCTTTAAGTTGGAATTAATGTGAAATACTTTGATGCTTTGCTATGTCAACAAATGAACAGTGCAATTCTAAACATTTATTTATTTATTTATTTATTTATTTATTTATTAATAAAATATGTGTATACCACAATTTCAGAGTTGTGAAAAAACCAGAGTTGTTGACATCAATTATAATACAATCAGAATCACACAAGAAATAAAATAGATTACCAGCTGAGTATTGCAAAAATGCTTCTCTTAATCATTTGCATAACTCCGCAGCAAAGAAAAGTTTTCAGCAAATGTTTTGAATAGAAGGTGCTTGCTGAATCTCAGTTGTAAGAGCATTCTCCAAGAGAGGGCCAATAACAATGAAGGCTCAGTTTTGTCTTGATGTCAAATGAGCCTTACCAACTCAATATATTGACTTCTGAGTAAAAAAATCACTGAAATCCTATGAAGAAAATCTGGTTAGGGTTTGCTATAAAGCACAACAACACTTTTATGCCATGTTGAGTTAAACCAGTGACTGGCTATTGGGTTTAGGTATCCATGATTATCCCATCAGACAAACTGCTTACATGATGAATGTGTATTCAGTCATGAGTCACAAGTGGACCTGAGGTTGTGTGATCACCCTGCTTTGAACTGGCATGGTGATTCAACAAAGAATAAAGTTCAAAAGAATCTCCACCTTCCAACATGCTTAATAGCCTGACATTCAACGTGGCATTTCTGATGTTGAAAGTTTGCAGAGACTGGCAGTCTGGTTTGTTGACAGTGACTGAGGAACATCATCATCATCAACAACAACAACATCAGTATCATAGTTAATTGTAAACAGCCAACAGAATGCATGGGCTAAGACATATTTATGCAATAAGAGATTGTGCACATAATCTAGACCAGCCTCACCCAACCTGGTGCCCTACAGATGTTTTGGACTACAATTCCCATCAGCCTATGTTGGTATGGACAACAGTCAGGGATGATTGTAACCCACCAGGTTGGGGAGGGCTGATCTAGACCAGTGGTCTTCACCTGGCGGGTCACAGCCTGATCTAAGGTGGGTCTCAACAGGAACACTATCACCATGCAAATATAGAGCGAAAGATTTAAGAAATGAATCCGCAAATACATGCTTGTGTTAAAACTAGGTCATGGGTCCAAAAAGGCTGAAGATACCTGATCTGGAAAATCCTGAATTGTGTCACATTCCCTCTTTTAAGTTGCAATTGGCCAACAGGGCTGCATCAATCGAAGTCAAGAAGGAAACCTGGCTCTAAAACATTTGGGGGTAATATCTTTCGTCTATAAGAATATTTAGTTAAATACAGAAAAATGTACCTTCCTTGTGCATTTCTACCACTTGCCCCTCAGTATTTGGAGAAGTGTGTCTTCTGTTCACAGCTTAAATGTTTAATGCAGTAAATTCCTGATTGCTCATGATGCTGCATAGAGTGTAGCACAGATCTAAGTATTGTAGCAGGTGAACAGAAATTATAAGAGAGGAATTTATTTTCTTTCCTTGCTGGACAGGGCATTGTAGTCCTCTGACATAGTGGAAGAAAAGCTGTGCCACATTAGAAAACACATTATCCCCTAATTTAAGGTGATTTACCAGGTCAGTTAATGTGCTAACTACAGATACCTGTGATGTTTGCACATGAAGGCTTCTTACCTAAAAGCACCACGCTTTCATTTGACAGCTGTGCAGCAAAAAACAACAACAACAACAACAACAACAACAAAACAAACCCCCACCCTCAGAATGGGAACCCCATAATTACTGCATTGACATCTGGCTCCCAGCAAGCTCGTTGGTCTGCATAAGCTCAGCATCCATATATATATATATATATATATATATATATATATATATATATACAGTGGTGCCTCGCAAGACGAAATTAATCCGTTCCGCGAGTCTTCGTCTTGCGGTTTTTTCGTCTTGCGAAGCACGGCTATTAGCGGCTTAGCGGCTATTAGCGGCTTAGCGGCTATTAACGGCTTAGCGGCTTTAAGAAAAAGGAAACAAACTCGCAAGAACTCGCAAGCAAGCCCATAGGGAAATTCGTCTTGCGGAACGACTCAAAAAACAGAAAACTCTTTCGTCTAGCGAGTTTTTCGTCTTGCGAGGCATTCGTCTTGCGGGGCACCACTGTATGTATGTGTATACACACACACACACACACACACACACACACACACAACACAAATAAGAAACAAAGCAGTAAGGCGGAGAATGCAATAAAACCATCTGCATATAATGACGAAGGGATACATAGGTAAACAGGTACATTGTGGGGTACAAAGAAGTAGCTTAATAATTAAACTAAAAATAATACCGCCCTGTCTTATTTTATTGCAGATAAAGGTAATTCTTGTTTGTCCTGGTTAAATTGCAGATGACGGGTTTCTCCAGTGGATATTTGTGAGGTTCAAAAGCAGGCGTATTATTCCGGCTCTGCATCATTTTTGTTAATAAAGGAAATAAATTCTTGCCAAGTTTTATCAAATAAACACATGGCTTTATGGTTTCTTGAAGTTCTCAACAGGTTAAATTCACCATAATACCAAGGCTCAATATATCTTTTTTCCTACCAGAGTTCGGCGGTATAGAAATTTAATAAATAATAATAAAAGTAATGGTTAAACCAGCTGCTTCTTTCCAGTGCTGCGGAATTGCAAGGTGTGCTGCCACCAACATGTATTGCATTACGTGGTTTGTGAGCAACCCCATTTTCTCCACAAAACAATGAAAGAGGACAGAGTTGTAGACCTTTCACAACTGGATACTAAATTATCAGGTTGATTCCAGCTATTATGTCATCCCAATGCATTTCAACCAAAGGACACCCCAAGAATAGAAGAAAATATTATCCATTAAAACACTTTCCCCCATATCTGGGGTGCAACTACCACCTGCAAGTGTCTTAAAAGAGTTTTTTCCCACACCATTAAAAAGACAAGAGATCAGCAACCAACATTTGAATTTCTCCCTGGCACAAGACATGTTTCATAGGAATTTTGTTCCCATTTTTTATATACCTTAACTTGTCTTTCGCTTGACCACATTCAGAGCCTACCCACATGATATTCTGTAAGTCAACAGACCTTATGGATAGGTGAATGTAAGGGTCCTGTTGGGTCAGCTGACCTGAGTCACAAAGTGCTACTGTTGCAATGCAGCTATGACAGCATCACAGTTTTGCGCTTTGCACAGTTCCCTCACCTGGATTTTTCTTTTCTTCCCATCAGGTACCTGCCTCCTTTGTGACTTGTCACAATAAGAATGAACAGACCACAACAAATCTGATCTGTGCTACCCTTTGTCAAGTAGAAAGAGAAATAATTCAATGGCTGAGATTCATCCCATGCAAAACTTAAGTACCAGCTCTGTAATTTATTGTATGAATCAGAAATAGCCAAGTTACAACTGAATCACACCAGATTATGAGAAACAAATTGAGATCAAGGTAATTCAGTATTTCTCTTTTTATCATAGTGCATTCCATGGCTGCAGTGAAAATTAGATTCCAAGTGTTAAAAATAATGCAACCATTACATTTACACACTGAATAATAAGGATCCTGAAATAGGTTTTGTTGAACACGGCATGCCCTTGTTACAGCAAAACAGATGCGTGGGCATGGAGACAGACTCTACAAACATATCTCACACTGCATAGGGCATGCAGGAACGATGTTTCGATACTGCTGGTGGGAGAATAGAATTTGATTCGTACTAGATGGTGTCTCTCTGGGCACCCAAGCCTGGAAATGTTTTTTTTTTTTTTCCCTTTAAAGGAAAGTGTGGGGAGGGAAGAGAAGAGAAAGAAACAGCCAACACATCCCCTGAGGAGGAAGAAGTGATTAGCATTCATCAATAGCAATCTCTCTGAGTGATGGAAAATGGTGCTGACAGGCTCCAAAGGGAACGGCGCCAACTCTACTTCACCAGAAGCGAGGAAAGGAGTGATAATGCAGAAGCACTGAGGGTGGAGGTGAAAATAGGCACCAGAAAACAAGGGACGTCCAATTTCCCATTTGCTTTTCAAAATTATCAGCACTTGTTGGGATAGATGCCTTCAGTCAGAGAAGTCCAGCACTTATGAACACGGGAAGCTGCATTGTACTGAGTCAGATCATTGAACCATCTAGCTCAGTACTGCCTACACTGGCTGGCAGCAGCTGTCCTGGTTTTCAGGCAGGAGTCTTTTCCTGGCCCAACCTGGCAATGGCCCTCTCTTCAGAGGTGATGGCCAGGCTTCATCCCAGCCTGAAAATTCACAGGGCGCTTTCACTTGCGATGCTTAAAGCAGTTTGCAATGCAAATGTAAACAGTACATGCCTCTGTTCTGTTGCAAGTAGAGCAAGAGAGACTCAAAGCCAGCTTATGCCTCATGGTTCAAAAATAATGTTGTATTTTCTCCTGGAAGTCCTTAGCTCTAGGCTCAACGTTTCTTGGCAGGGATGGACCAGTCATTAGGAGGGGTGAAGCCACCACGTTTGGCCCACCTCACTGGCAGCAGAGGTGCCAGTACCAATTTCTGGTGAGATCTCACCAAAAGAGCATGGAAATCTGTAAGAACTCCCTGAAAATTGGCACTGATGCTGGTGGCAGAGGCAGTGGGGCAGTCCGCGTAAGTGGCTGAGGTGGCGGCAGCAGGGGATGACAGCATTTCCCATTTTGCCTCAGGCACTTAAATTGGTTCACATTGCTCCTGCTTTTTGGTAAGGCAAGATCACTCTGCACATGCTTTGTGTCTCTTACTTTACCATCATTTGACTTTTGCATGGAATAACTAACTGACATTCAGAAAACAGGTCCCAAGGCTAAACAATAAAAAGCCCTGGGCTTAAAACCCAGGTCTTGGGCTGTGCAGATTTGGCACAGATTGTGTCCATTCCACAGAGGCTCCTACTAGCTGTTTTGCAAATTGCAGCATGTGAACAGTGCATATGGAAACACTGGGAGCAATCAATACTGAATAATGCATTGATCCTTCCAAACCCCTAATTTATCTACTAACACTGGCCCCCAGAATACTGGACTTCAGGAGCCTCTCAAGCACCCGATGGGTATGGTGGGGAGAGTCATATTTACTTAGAAAAGGCAGGGCTTGCCAAACAAAAATAATTCTTATGCTGACTCTGACCTCAGGGACTCCATTAAAAATGGATGCAGTCATTCTCCCATCCCTGGAGACCCAGAAACCTTCCCATGCACTAGAGATAGACCTAAATCTTAAGGGTTGTTTTTCTTTTCTTTTTTAAGGTGCATGCCTTAAACCCAATAACTGGTCCAGTGTGTGTGGAGTGTATATCAATGCTGAAACTCTCTGTCACCACACAGAAATGGACTCTTCTTCCACAAGGAGGTAGTGGTAATGATCAATCAATCCACCAGACAAGCTTCCATATATGAGCAGATCCCTATAAAGAGTCCCTATTATGTCCCTGCATTCATCATATAGATAAGAGACACGGGGGAATGATTAATGGACTTCAATGTCTGTACACTAATGCGCAAAGCATGGGAAATAAACAAGATGAGCTTGAGCTCTTGGTACAGCAAACTAAATATGACATAATAGGCATCACTGAAACCTGGTGGGATAAGTCCCATGATTGGAATGTAATAATGGAGGGATACAATCTATTTCAGAGAAACAGACCAGACAAGAAAGGAGGAGGAGTGGCGTTATATGTCAGGGATGTGTATACCTGTGAAGAGATCCAAGATTTAGAACCTCAAAGCCAAAGTGAGAGCATTTGGGTCAAAATTAAGGGAGAGAAGAATAACAGTGACCTCATTGTGGGAGTTTACTATAGATCCCCAAGCCAAACGGAGGACATAGATGATGCCTTCCTGGAACAGATGGCCAAGCATGCAAAAGGAGGAGATAGTAGTAATGGGGGACTTCAATTACCCGGATATTTGTTGGATATCAAACTCAGCCAAGAGCATAAGGTCAAACAGATTCCTCACTGGCCTTGCAGACAACTTCATTGTCCAGAAAGTGGGAGAAGCAACAAGAGGAACAGCCATTTTAGATCTGGTCCTAACCAATGTTGATGACCTGGTTAGTGGGGTAGAAGTGGAAGGATCATTAGGCGCAAGTGATCATGCTCTTCTAAAGTTTACTATACAGCGGAAAGGAGCAGCCAAGCACACTAGGACTCAATTTCTTGACTTTAAGAAAGCCGACTTCATAAAACTTAGGGAAGTGCTGGGTGAGATCCCATGGACAGTAATACTAAAAGGAAAGGGAGTTCATGATGGCTGGGAGTTTGTTAAGAGGGAGATAGTAAAAGCACAACTTCAGGCAATACCAATGAGACGGAAACATGGAAGGTGCCTAAAGAAGCCAGGGTGGCTATCTAAAGAACTTTTAACTGAGTTAAGATTAAAAAAGGATGTGTACAAAAATGGAAAAGGGGGAAACCACCAAAGAGGAATTCAAACAAATAGCCAGCACGTGTAGACACAAAGTCAGAAAAGCTAAAGCACAGAATGAACTCAGGCTTGCTAGAGAGGTTAAAAGCAACAAAAAGGCTTTTATGGGTATGTTCGTAGCAAAAGGAAGAACAAAGAAACAGTGGGGTCACTCAGAGGAGAAGATGGTGAAATGCAAACAGGGGACACAGAAAGGGCTGAACTCCTCAATGCCTTCTTTGCCTTAGTCTTCTCTGATAAAGAAAACAATGCCCGACCTGAAGAATTTGGAGCAAATGATTCAGCAGAGGAAACACAGCCCAGAATAACTAAGGAGATAGTACAAGAATACTTGGCTAGTCTAGATGTATTCAAGTCTCCAGGGCCAGATGAACTGCATCCAAGAGTATTAAAAGAACTGGCAGATGTGATCTCAGAACCACTGGCAGTCATCTTTGAGAATTCCTGGAGAACAGGCGAAGTCCCGGCAGACTGGAGGAGGGCAAATGTTGTCCCTATTTTCAAAAAGGGGAAATAGAGGACCCAAATAATTATCGCCCAGTCAGTCTGACATCAATACCAGGGAAGATTCTGGAGCAGATCATTAAGCAAACAGTCTGTGAGCACCTAGAAAGGAATGCTGTGATCACCAATAGTCAATAGTCATTTCTGAAAAATAAGTCATGTCAGACTAACCTGATCTCGTTTTTTGACAGAATTACAAGCCTGGTAGATGAAGGGAACGCAGTGGATGTAGCCTACCTTGATTTCAGCAAGGCATTTGACAAGGTGCCCCATGATATTCTTGTAAAGAAGCTGGTAAAATGCGGTCTTGACTATGCTACCACTCAGTGGATTTGTAACTGGCTGACTGACCGAACCCAAAGGGTGCTCATCAATGGTTCCTCTTCATCCTGGAGAAGAGTGACTAGTGGGGTACCACAGGGTTCTAACTTGGGCCCGGTCTTATTCAACATCTTTATCAACGACTTGGATGATGGACTCAAGGGCATCCTGATCAAATTTGCAGATGACACCAAACTGGGAGGGGTGGCTAACACCCCAGAGGACAGGATCACACTTCAAAACGACCTTGACAGATTAGAGAACTGGGCCAAAACAAACAAGATGAATTTTAACAGGGAGAAATGTAAAGTATTGCACTTGGGCAAAAAAATGAGAGGCACAAATACAAGATGGGGACACCTGGCTTGAGAGCAGTACATGTGAAAAGGATCTAGGAGTCTTGGTTGACCACAAACTTGACATGAGCCAACAGTGTGACGCGGCAGCTAAAAAGCCAATGCAATTCTGGGCTGCATCAATAGGAGTATAGCATCTAGATCAAGGGAAGTAATCGTGCCACTGTATTCTGCTCTGGTCAGACCTCACCTGGAGTACTGTGTCCAGTTCTGGGCACCACAGTTCAAGAAGGACACTGACAAACTGGAACGTGTCCAGAGGAGGGCAACCAAAATGGTCAAAGGCCTGGAAACGATGCCTTATGAGGAACGGCTAAGGGAGCTGGGCATGTTTAGCCTGAAGAAGAGGAGGTTAAGGGGTGATATGATAGCCATGTTCAAATATATCAAAGGATGTCACATAGAGGAGGGAGAAAGGTTGTTTTCTGCTGCTCCAGAGAAGCGGACATGGAGCAATGGATCCAAACTACAAGAAAGAAGATTCCACCTAAATATTAGGAAGAACTTCCTGACAGTAAGAGCTGTTCAACAGTGGAATTTGCTGCCAAGGAGTGTGGTGGACCTCCTTGGAGGTCTTTAAGCAGAGGCTTGACAACCATATGTCAGGAGTGCTCTGATGGTGTTTCCTGCTTGGCAGGGGGTTGGACTCGATGGCCCTTGTGGTCTCTTCCAACTCTATGATTCTATGATTCTAGATTTAAACTGTTAGTCCTCACCCCCAAGAGAAGCTAAACTTCAATGTGTTGAAGAGTCTTGGGGCACCTTAGAGAATAACATGGTTATTGTATATACTATAGTCCACTTCGTCGGATGCATTAAATACCATCCTGAATAGCAGAGGGGGGTGTGGGTGGGTGGGTGAATACTGGAATCTGCCTTTATACTGTGCCAGACCATAGGTCAATCTAACTCAGTAAACTAACTGGCAACAGTTTTTGTCCTCCAGTGCTGCCCAGAGACACTGCGGATGGAGACTGGGTCTGTCTGTCTGGAAAGCAGATGTTCTACCGAAAAGCCACAGCCCTACATGATTTTCAGGGGAGCTTTCAGAATGAAAAGCACAAAGAATTATGATAGCCTTATTAACACTTAACCAAGCTTCTTCTTCATCTTTCTTTTCTTTTCTTTTTTTTATGCAAGAAACTAACAAGACTACCCCTCTGGAAATGTAAACCTAAGCATGTGTGACTGCATTTGATCAGATCAATCAATGCTTTCTATCCTTTTGTCATCTTCCCTGCAACTGAAATTTAGTTTGCAAAGTCTTTAGGGCAGGGACTTAACTTTTACTTGAATGTCAAGTACACTAATGGCACTATATAGGCAATATTGATGCTACACTAGTCTTAGACAAACGCTTAACCAAGCTCTGATTTGCTGTGTATTTTTACTGTGTATTTCCTGCACTGAATTTAAAGCGGTATCTTTTTAGGTTCTTTACCCTGAAGTAATCACAGTCATTTCAAAAGAAACAGTAAATGGCTTGAGGGCAGCAGCCAACTTCTCTCTCTCTCTCTCTCTCTCTCTCTTTCTTTGGTTGCAAAATAGCTGAAATTATATATGCTGCGTTTCTTTTCCTCCTTTTTTTTTTGCAACGATTGGCAGAAAAAAGCAACAGAAATGGTGAGAAGAGCATCCCTTCACTTCTTTATTTGCACACAAGTTGACAGATGTGCATTGATTATTCTGTCATTAGCTCCTGAAACAACAACACACAGATTTTTAATTCATGCAAATACATACTCGGTTTAGCTTTTCTTCAGCAACCACATATGATTGGGGGGGGGGGGGAGAGACATCCTCCCCTCCCCCAATTACAATGCATAACATCTGATTTCAGAGAAAGGATAGTTTCAGTTCAATGTCTATAGAAATATGCATCAAGGAAGTAAGCATCCGTGGGCAGGGCAGAGGAACACTAAAAAGCAAATATCCACACTAATAACTTTTCTTCATAATTTAGCAAACAAACAAGAAGGGGGAAATGAGATATTAAGCAGAAGGCATGAAAAGATACAACAGGTTTTGTTCATGATGGCTTACCTGATACCGGTGAATAATCACACAATTCAAATGATGTGAGAAAGTGTGTTCTCCATCATGGAGAGCATGTGTTGCAGTGGGGGCAAACAAGACATTCCTCTGTTGCTGGGCGGGTTAGTATAGATGGCCATGAATCTGATTGGGTACCCCTCAGAAATTGGGGAGAATTTGGTGTAGCAATTTTATGAGTGACTGTTGAGGGGCTATTTATTCCCTGCGCGCAGTGTTGAGCTTCCTCTTTTTGCTGCGTGCATTGGATCACCCGCCCACCCTCCCTATATTTAGGGTTGTTTGCTTGACCTTGCTATGCCTGTCATGGGGTCGTCTGCTTTTGGGGCAGGGGCCTGGTAGGAATTTTGTCCATCTGGCTGATTGGCTGGTGCCATTTGGTTTTTGCCTACTGCGTAGGAAATCGTCACAACTTGTAAGGTTGTGGTTAGGCTTGGTTAATTTGGTTGGTGGAGGGGTATGGTTGGCTGTTCCGACCTCCCCAATGCTGCTGCAAGGGTATTCTGTTAAAGGAATCCAGGGTCTTGCCATGCTCTTGTCCAAACCCCTGTCAAGGGGCATGGGCCAGGCAAGAGCCCCTGGGAGCATTTGGGAAGAGGTGAGAGCCTGGCGCCCAGCTCTATGCTCTCCCCCCAAATGTTTTCCCTTACTGACTTTTGCAGGTTTGCGGGTGTCAGTTCTGTTACTACCTCTAAGTGGGAACAGATAGTCATGAACCAATGCCTAAGCAACCACTCACATGCTGTAATCAATAAAGCTGTGGCCAAAATGTATGCCAAAAACCTTAAACAAAAATTCTGTGTGAACTGTGTCTTTATTTGAGGGTGGCTGTGGGGTCCTCAACACGCAACAAGTTTAAATGTTCCGCTGGGAAACAATGACAGGTCAGAGGCACAGCGTGCAGAAGGTCTGAGGTTCAATCCTCAACTATAGGAAGGCTGGGACACCCATAATTTATACAGTCATACCTCGGGTTACAGATGCTTCAGGTTGCGTTTATTCGGGTTATGGACCGCCAAAACCCAGAAGTACCGGAACAGGTTACTTCCGGATTTTGGCAGCCGCGCATGCACAGAAGCACAGAATCACCCTTTGTGCATGTGTAGAAGCGCTGAATTGCAACCCGTGTGTGCACAGACATGGGTTGTGAATGCTGCGGGTTGCGAACTTGCATCCCGTACGGATCATGCTCACAACCCGAGCATTCACTGTACTATGTTCACCAAATTGTTTATATGTTTTGTAAGTAATTATGTCCCCCCCCCCCAAAAAAAAAGATATGATATGTATTTTGATAATAGGTTAAATGTTTATTGTGAGATGCTTTGGACAGAGTTTGCTGTTGACAAGCAGCATATAAATAAATAAACTGGACATTTTAAAACAGAGTGGTAGAAGACAGAGGCTGCATTTGAATGTGACGTTTATTACATTAGTTTTACCAGTTATAATGCAAGTGCTTCTGTCTTGATTTCTTTTTGCTCTGCAGTGCCTATTGTGTTATGGAACCATGGCTTTTCAATTGATGAACTGCGCACTAAATTGTGTGTGTGTGTTGGGGGTGGGAAAAGGACTGGGTGCCAGGTTACCAACCAAAATTTTGATACATGGGTGGTTAGGGAAACCATTTCAAAAAGTAAAATTCCTGACACCTGCATATCTGTTGACCTTTTGCAGGGGGGGGGGACCCAAATTACTCCCCCCCCAAATAGTGTTTTTAAAGTTTTCCCATCATGTTGCCATACATCTGGGTTTTCCCTGACATTTTGCCAATTCCCCCCATCACCACTTTTACACCAGAAAACCAGGACATGTCAGGAATTTTCCTGACATATAGCAAGCTGAAACATCATGAAAATTTCCAAGTTAATGGGGTTAAAACATCTGTGTTTTTTTCCTGAAAACATTTAACAGGAATTGAGAGTTAAACTGCAGTTAGATTCCACTGGATTTCCAGAAGGAGTTTTTGCACCATGTGAGAGATCACATGAAACACACCAAGCAACAAGTAAGAAAATACTGGAAAGACAGAATGATGCGCCATCAGAATGCAGACAGAGTGAAGGCCAACTGGAACACCTAAGGAATGGAGTTTAAGTGTGGCCCTAGAGAAAACTCTCTGCTGTATCCAAGGCAATTCTGCTTCAGTCATACCACAGCATGCATGTTAGAGAGGGTGGAGAAATAGGTTTGGTCCACTTTTTGGAGAAGACCAATAAGATGCTCCCAGACATATCTGTGGATTGAAATGCAACTCCCAGTCACATTGCACATATGAATGAGTGACTATGCATCTATATCAGTTTGTGATTTAAAGTAAGAAGAAAAAAACCTCAGGGATACATTTTTTGCATGCATTTTTGCCTACTATACACATTTTTTTGCCAAGCAATTTCCTCTGATTTAATGCATTTTTATCTGGTTTTCATTATATATGCATTGGTATGAACAGTTTAGCCCTTCATATGCATTTCTGAACACATTACCGAGCAAAAGAGCTGCAGCGCAAAGTGTGGATACGTGCAAATTTTGAAAGAAGGCTGTGTTTCAGTTCACATATTGTTTTGGAAAATTATTGCTTGCCCTTGAATGCAGGCTGAACTGAATTTCCCCCAAATCCTTAATTACACACTTACATAGAGTTCGTGATGCACTGCCAAATAAACTCTCCTTTTTACATGTGTTTCAAGTCTTTTCAATATTAAATGAGCATTTGTGGGTGGAGTTTTTTTGCACGCCAATACTGCACACAAAAAATGTGCATTTTATAAGGAAATGCATTGGAGAGTATGTATAAAACAGTGGATTTTGGATTAAAAAGTGTTCATAAAATGCATACAACTTAAACATGGGTCTTTCATGCATTCTTTTACAATATCTGCATAAAATGGGATTGAAAAGACCTATGATTGAGTGCCAGCAAGGCTGAAACTGGAAACAGTTTTCTCACTCCCTAATTACTGCTACATAAAGTGATGGACCATCACAGATGACACATCTATAGTCACAGCTTCCTTATTATCAATAATATTCACATTAACCCTGACACACATCACTTTCCAGTGGAGACAAGCTGCAAGCCATGCAATAGTTCAGTAATACCTAGTGAGATACATGCATTTGATAATGAGCTGCTGGATGTGCAACTGAACCCAGAACAATACTGTTCAGTGCTTAACTAGCATTGAAACAGGATGTTACACATTCACATACTGATATCTTGAAGATATCAGTACCTTTTGGATTTAAAACAAACGTTTTGGCTTGTTTTAAAATCAAGTTTCCCACATTCGCAATTTCAAATTCAAAATATTGAAAAAGGGTTAGCAACTCCATTATACTTACACAGAGACAATGTGGTACATTAACAACAAAAGGGTTTTAAGCAAAAGAAAGAAATCCCCTGTGGCTTTTATACATATTTACCTGTTCATTTGTAATGGATCCAAAGGTCCTTTTCGGAGCTGTTTTAGGCTGTCATGTAAACACAAAAATGAGAAATTTTCTTTAAATGCTTTTCAATGCATTAGATAGACAGACAGACAGATAGATAGATAATAGATAGATGATAGATAGATTCACAGTCAAACACTTAACCTTGACAATCAAAATCACTCTTCCATCACTCCTATATAGCTTTGCTGAGGCAGAAGCCTGGGCTTGCAATACCTTCCTGTAGGATATAGCACTTCAATTTAATGAGCATTTGCACCTGTGGTGGTAGAGCAATACTCAACAGCCTGAAAAAGAAGAAAGAAACTCAAGCAGAAATACATGCAGGGTTGAATTCAGATGCCCATTCTTGTGTACAATGGAATCACTGTTTTGGGATCGGGACAATGAGTCTGCACATTTCTTCTTAGTTATCTCGCACATAAATCCTTGACTGCTGGAGTTGGGCTGAAATTTCTCAGACTTTCTGATAAATTTGTCTTCTATTTTTTCTGTGAATGACTTCAATAATTTACTCCCTCTCACCACGCCAAAAAAGATGGGCATTCAACTGAATATTCATCAAATACTCTTCACAATTGGTTGATGTTGCTGCCATCCCCACAACAGTGTTCCAGAACTACACTAAAACCAGGGCACTGTGGGAAGACCCTAAATGGTCACCTGGCTGCCACCAACACAGATATGTTGTTACCACCATTGCTAATTGTAACAACAGTATTGCAGGGGAGGGGGCTGCTAACGGTGATCACTCTGCCCCAAGAAACTGCCAGATAATTTTACTCCCAAAGTGAAATGCTTTCCTAGATTTTGCCACCAATGGAGAGAATGTAAACATTTTTTTGTGGGGGAGTGAGGGCGTTTAGATCCAGACCTTATTTGTTTATTTCATGCATTCATTCAGTAATAATATCCAATGAAAATAATACATCCAATATAAAAGCAAACTCTACCTGCCAATAAAGTATAAACATGCCAAAACACAGTAGAAGTTCAGTGCTAGTTCTGTATTATTTTATTGCTGTAGTTTGGAATTGTGTGTGCTTTCTTTTAAATGACTGTAAATTGCCTTGAGACATATGTGGAGGATGATTCATAAATTCATAAATAATAATAAATAAACAAACAATAAACCAGCATAGAAAGTGGAGTACGTAAATATAAACGATAATACAGATCATAAAATACCCACAAGATGCAACAATAATTAAAAGGTGCAAAAATAAAACAATTTGGAAAGGTTTGGGTGGAAAGAAAGCTTTTCAGCTAACCTTGAAAACATAGCAATGTTGGGATGTGTTTCACTTCAAAGGGAAAGGGATTTGATAGAACTGATGCCACAACTCTAAACTCACATTGTGAAGTCAAAGTATGCTTTAGCCGAAGAGTGAGTGGCACAATTAACATCAACCTTACAACTTGCCTCCCTTGCCCCATACAGTTTTACATACAAAGTTTTCTGAGTATAATAACATATCTACTACTCATTTTAAAGTAGGATGGAGCTGGCCATACATAAACATGGTGGGAGGACATGTTCCGTGTTGACTCATGAGATGTTCATTTAAAGTGGTTGGTTACATCAAGGACCGGTTGGGGATTTAAGCTGCCAACTGTTACATCAATAGACTGTGATGAGTCTATCAGGATGTGACTGTCCCAGTGAAATAACTGAAACAAGCCCAGTTTTCAATATATACAATTGCTTATTCAGTATTTAGCATGAAAAAGCACATGAAATATCAACAGCAATGTGTCATGTGTAGAAATGTTCCTTAAAGAGCAGAACTGATATGAAATGCCAGCATCTGTATCCTGCAATGCATCCCACAAGTATAGAATTCTCAGAGTTTCATGGAATTAAGCATTAATACCTTAAGATGATATACCTTGGGACACAACATAAAAGATAGAGGTGATTTTTTAGTATGATTGCCACTTTTGTCAATTTTTTCAACTAGCCAGTAGATTGCACCAAACACATTTAAAATTTTTGAACACATGGTAACTAAAACCCAATGCAGGAAGAGTTTGTTGGCCTTTGGCCAAGTGATTTCAATCAGTTTAAGCACCTTATACTCTCTGCTAGATGGAGACCAGTTTCTTTACCTAATGACTCCGTTAAGACTGCAAACTATTGCCCACTCCATTGGGCAAACCCTATTAATCTTTGTCAAATTCTCCTTCCAAGTAAAACACACAGGATCAGGTTTGATGAAGACACATGCATCAAGCAAACACCCTACCTGTGAGTACATGAGCTGTAGCACATGCACACGCAAATTCTGCACTGCAAGTGAATATTAAGAGTATGCATATTTAGTGATATATGATTGTATCTTGAAGGTTTCATGGCAACTGGTTGTGCTCATATTGCCTTGTGTAATTGTGTGAGGCAGGTAGCTGCTATAGTTATTTGTTCTTATTAATTACCCACTAATAGCAATTGAAAAGACAACATTAAAAACTGTTCTAAAAAAATTACAATTACAAAAAATATACATTTCACGGATCAAAGATCAAGATATAAGAACATTCACAAAGAACTGCATAATGAAATTGCCAGATGCACTTCTATGAGAGGAAGGTCTTTACCAAAATGGCTGTCACAGAGCAGGTGCTCTCTCACAGGCCATCCCCACCCTGAGCTTCTGAGGCTGCTGGAACTATGAAGAATGTCCCTCCTACAATCATAACACTGTTCTGTAGGAGAAGGAGGCAGGTGGTCTTTCAGACATTTGGGTCATGGGCTGTTTAGGGTTTTCAACACTAATGTGAGCACCTTGAACTGGGATCAAAAACAAACCGGTAAACCAGATGTTAACTGGCAGAATTTCCCTCTCCTGTTCCCCTCCCCACCCCACCCCAAAAAAGAAACTGAATTACTTTGCAGTCAATGCATTCCAACCCTTACATTAGTGCCTCTCAGGCTGAACCCCCTATTCACTTCTTTCAACCACGGAGGTGTTAAACAACAGCAGCAGAACTACCAAAGCTTGAAACATATTTCAGTCATCACCACTCAGGTCATCTTGCAGGTTTCCCATGAAAAGTACTGCATTTGTTTAACTGTTAACGAGGTTTTGCACATTTCTAAGGGTGAGGAGGCTGGGCAAAGAGCTGGGTTTGGAGTCGAAGGAGTCTTTGATAAGATAAGGCTAAGGGCAGGGTCAGCCCTATCATTAAGTAGAGTGTGGCAGATGCTGGACAGTGTGGAGCAGCACCGAGACATTGGAGAACAGAGCTATATGTTCCACATGGCCTGACCAGCACCCCTCCCTTAAGGCAGTAAAGATTCAACTACAACTCTGGTCAGGTTTGAGAAATGCAAGGATGTGCCTTAGACAAAGTCAGACAATTGGTCCAACTACCTCTGTATTTTCTCCACTGACTGGCAGCTGCTCCCCAGGAATCCTTCTCTAACCTCCATAGAGATGTCTTGGGACCTTCTGGATTCCACTGAGCTATGTCCCCTCCATATGGCTATACATATAATTGGGAGGGGGTACCATACTGGAACAAAGGAAGCTGATTCAGTCCATTGTTCTACACTGACTGACAGTTGTCCGGAGATGTCAGGGATGAGCTATGGACCTTCCCTGTAGCATAAATAGGTAGCACACTCTTTGGAGATCAGCACAAACCATCAGAATACCTGGGAGACCATATCTGAATGAACAAAGAACCGTGTCTTATAGTGAGTCAGGCCAATGGTCCTCCTAGCTCAGTATTGTCTATGCTGATTGGCAAAGTTTTCAGGAATTCAGTCAGGGAGTCTCTCCCAACCCTATCTGCAGTTGCTGGGTATTGACCTACTGCAGTGCTCTATCACCGCAAAGTTTTGTAGATGTGCAACATGTTGGGCTGCCCCTGCAAGTAAGGATTTCCTGGATCCCTCAATCTCCATATAACATACAGATCTGAAGAGTCCCCCTGCTCACAGCTTTTCAGGCTGCAGTGAGGAACGGGAGGTTGGAAAAGTCCTATTCCATGAGCAGCTATCTACTCAAAGTACTCAGAACCCTGTATCATTGTTATTTCTGATAAATATCCAAGCAATTCTTGTCCCCATGTGCTATGTATTTCACTGGAATACATGTAAGGGCAAAATCCAAGATCAAACAGCAACTCCCAGCATAATTCATAGAACACTTGAACCTGCAACCATTATTCCCCACCCCCAATTTTGTTAACAGAAATACACCCTTTACTGCCCCCACCCCAAATTAAAGGGATGAATGCAAATTGTGTGGTTTTTATAGTGCTAGCAAACTACTGCCTGCAACAGATAAATGTGAACACATTCAGAACTACAGTAGCGTGAATGTTGCAGCAGTAATAAAGGATACAGGTCCTCCATCTGCTGTCATATACCCAGTGTGTAATTCAGATTTTCATGCATTCTGAAAGATGAGGCCACATTACACTGCTTTCCCACTTAAAGCAGCACAGAATGATGCTCTTTGCACTGTATCGAGGCAGGCATCTTAATAAATGTACAGCGCTGGAGTTTTAATATTAATATTTAGCGTGCACATTTCAAATATTCAAAATGCTGCATGCGCTGGATACATAACTGCCGCTTGATTTATGTTAACCTTTTTTGGTAGGGCTTTTGTTTTCCTGTACAAATTTAAGCCCGTTATATCGCTATGACATCCTCTCAGAAACTCTCACAGCTAGGAGTGGACAAACAGCATATTTGCGGTCTATGACACTTTTGCTTGTGTTCACGTGTAAAAATGATTAAGAGACTGGAGCAAGGAAAGATTACGTTTGGGGCTTCTTTGGTTTAGGGGGAGGACACAACAGAGCTTTATATATAGGTATGCATAACATGGAGAAAGTGTATCGGGAGAAGTGTTTCTCCATCTTTCATAATACGAGAACTGTGGGTGTTACAGTGAAACTGAAGACTTGGGAGATTCAGGTCAGAGAAAAGAAAGCAGTTCATGCAGTATACAGTGGTGCCCCGCAAGACGAATGCCTCGCAAGACGGAAAACCCGCTAGACGAAAGGGTTTTCCGTTTTGGAGGTGCTTCGCAAAACGAATTTCCTATGTGCTTGCTTCGCAAGACGAAAATGTCTTGCGAGTTCCTGCGGGTTTTTCCCCCTCCCCCCTTTTTCCCAAGCCGCTAAACCGCTTATCAGCTGATCGTTAAGCCGCTTATCAGCTGATCTTTAAGCCACTTAACAGCTGATCGCTAAGCCGCTTATCAGCTGATCCGCTAAGCCCGCTAAGCCGCTAATACTGTAGCGCTAATCCGCTAAACCGCTAATGGGCTTGCTTCGCAAGACGAAAAAACCCGCAAGACGAAGAGACTCGCGGAACGGATTCTTTTCGTCTCATCAAGTTGTGGATTCCCTTCCCTCAGGAGGCAGTGATGGACAACAGCTTAGACTGCTTCAAAAGACAATTAGGAAAAAAATAATGGTGGGTAAAGTTATCAGTGGCTACTATCCACAATGGCTACATCTGCCCCTCCACTGTCGTAGGCAGCTTGGCTCTGCATACCATTTGCTGGGAATCAAAGGTAGAGAGAAAGCTGCTGTGCTCAGAAACTGCTTGTGGGCTTCCCATAGGCATCTGGTTGGTTATTGAAAGAAGAGAATGCTGGACTAGATGGGCCATTGGCCTGATCCAGCAGGACTTTTTTACACTGCTAAATGTCCCAGGCATCTCTGCTTAAAGAAACATAGGAGAAGGATATAAAAGACTTCTGCCCAGGACCATGGGGAGCCAATGAAGTAAGAGTAGGCAAATCTGGATTATGTCAACCAATGCTTTGACCTAGTATATTGGTGTGCACAGATTAGTCCAATTTGATGGCCTATAAACCTGGAAAAAATTGGGAGCCATGGCTTTGTAACTCCTACCCTTGCTATACTTTGGAAGCTGATTTCTCATTTCTTGGTCAATTAAAAAGAAACAAAAAACCTCCACAGTAGAATGCAGATAGATGAATTAAGGAAGCAAATTCTTATCTCCAGCGCACATGATTAGATCTGCTGAGAGACATTTACACAAACCACAGAGAACAGGAGACTGATTCTGTATGTGAAGGACAGATTAGGATATCAGTTATGACTGTGCTTTGCTCTAAATACGCCAGTTTCTCTACAGCCTGAAGGAAGATTCCAGAAACATTAACTGTCCCAGAAAAGAAAGAAAAACCAAACCCTTTCCCCTCAGTTTGTACAATGCTGTTATGATGGAAATGGGGGGCGGGGGCAGAATATTTACTCTGGCATATTATACAAATCCCACAGCCATGGGGTTGAAGCACTATTGACACATTTCAGTACACGTTGGATTGTTGCTTCTATGCAAGCAAGGCCACATGGTCTGGGAGTGATAATAAAGCCAACACAAATAAGCACATGGGAGAAAAATAAATAAAACTGGAGGTTCAGCACTAGAGATGTCAGAGAATTCTGTCAGAAACAGAAACAAGAGCAGAAAGTGCCACAAATTGCATGCTCATCTGAAGCCCAGAATGGAAATCACACACACAAATGCAAGTGGTAATAGTTATGATGGTTTCTTTAGTCTGCAACTCTTATGCAGATAACTA